CTTAATTGCCCTTAATTAACTTTAATTATTCCACTAATAGCATTAATTTTCAAAGAAACACCTTAAAAGTAGCTTAATTGCCCTTAATTAACTTTAATTATTCCACTAATAGCATTAATTTTCAAAGAAACACCTTAAAAGTAGCTTAATTGCCCTTAATTAACTTTAATTATTCCACTAATAGCATTAATTTTCAAAGAAACACCTTAAAAGTAGCTTAATTGCCCTTAATTAACTTTAATTATTCCACTAATAGCATTAATTTTCAAAGAAACACCTTAAAAGTAGCTTAATTGCCCTTAATTAACTTTAATTATTCCACTAATAGCATTAATTTTCAAAGAAACACCTTAAAAGTAGCTTAATTGCCCTTAATTAACTTTAATTATTCCACTAATAGCTTTAATTATTCAATAAATATCTTAAGAGTAACTTAATTGCCCTTAATTAACTTTAATTTTTCCAGTAATAGCTTTAATTATCCAATAAATATCTTAAAAGTAACTTAATTGCCCTTAATTAACTTTAATTTTTCCAGTAATAGCTTTAATTATCCAATAAATATCTTAAAAGTAACTTAATTGCCCTTAATTAACTTTAATTTTTCCAGTAATAGCTTTAATTATCCAATAAATATCTTAAAAGTAACTTAATTGCCCTTAATTAACTTTAATTTTTCCAGTAATAGCTTTAATTATCCAATAAATATCTTAAAAGTAACTTAATTGCCCTTAATTAACTTTAATTTTTCCAGTAATAGCTTTAATTATCCAATAAATATCTTAAAAGTAACTTAATTGCCCTTAATTAACTTTAATTTTTCCAGTAATAGCTTTAATTATCCAATAAATATCTTAAAAGTAGCTTAATTGCCATTAATTAACTTTAATTATTCCACTAATAGCATTAATTTTCAAAGAAACACCTTAAAAGTAGCTTAATTGCCCTTAATTAACTTTAATTATTCCACTAATAGCATTAATTTTCAAAGAAACACCTTAAAAGTAGCTTAATTGCCCTTAATTAACTTTAATTATTCCACTAATAGCATTAATTTTCAAAGAAACACCTTAAAAGTAGCTTAATTGCCCTTAATTAACTTTAATTATTCCACTAATAGCATTAATTTTCAAAGAAACACCTTAAAAGTAGCTTAATTGCCCTTAATTAACTTTAATTATTCCACTAATAGCTTTAATTATCCAAGAAATACCTTAAAAGTAACTTAATTGCCCTTAATTAACTTTAATTATTCCACTAATAGCTTTAATTATCCAAGAAATACCTTAAAAGTAACTTAATTGCCCTTAATTAACTTTAATTATTCCACTAATAGCTTTAATTATCCAAGAAATACCTTAAAAGTAACTTAATTGCCCTTAATTAACTTTAATTTTTCCAGTAATAGCTTTAATTATCCAATAAATATCTTAAAAGTAACTTAATTGCCCTTAATTAACTTTAATTTTTCCAGTAATAGCTTTAATTATCCAATAAATATCTTAAAAGTAACTTAATTGCCCTTAATTAACTTTAATTTTTCCAGTAATAGCTTTAATTATCCAATAAATATCTTAAAAGTAACTTAATTGCCCTTAATTAACTTTAATTTTTCCAGTAATAGCTTTAATTATCCAATAAATATCTTAAAAGTAGCTTAATTACCCTTAATTAGCTTTAATTTTTCCAGTAATAGCTTTAATTATCCAATAAATATCTTAAAAGTAGCTTAATTGCCATTAATTAACTTTAATTATTCCACTAATAGCTTTAATTATCCAATAAATATCTTAAAAGTAGCTTAATTGCCATTAATTAACTTTAATTATTCCACTAATAGCTTTAATTATCCAATAAATATCTTAAAAGTAGCTTAATTGCCATTAATTAACTTTAATTATTCCACTAATAGCATTAATTTTCAAAGAAACACCTTAAAAGTAGCTTAATTGCCCTTAATTAACTTTAATTATTCCACTAATAGCTTTAATTATCCAATAAATATCTTAAAAGTAACTTAATTGCCCTTAATTAACTTTAATTATTCCACTAATAGCTTTAATTATCCAAGAAATACCTTAAAAGTAACTTAATTGCCCTTAATTAACTTTAATTTTTCCAGTAATAGCTTTAATTAACCAAGAAATATCTTAAAAGCAGCTTAATTGCCCTTAATTAACTTTAATTTTTCCAGTAATAGCTTTAATTAACCAAGAAATATCTTAAAAGTAACTTAATTGCCCTTAATTAACTTTAATTTTTCCAGTAATAGCTTTAATTAACCAAGAAATATCTTAAAAGCAGCTTAATTGCCCTTAATTAACTTTAATTAGTCCAGCAATACCATTAATTACCGAATAAATATCCTAAAACTAGCTTAATTGCCCTTAATTAACTTTAATTATTCCAGTAATACCATTAATTATCCCATAAGTACCTTAAAAGTAGTTTAGTTGCCCTTAATTAACTTTAATTAGTTAATTAGTAGCAATGTTTACACAAAATTAAGGTAATTGTGCTTTAATTTTTCCATTGATAACACCAAAATCATCTTAATTGCTCTTAATTACCTCTAATTAGTCCATAAATAGCGTTGATTATACAAAAAAAAGCCTTAATTGGAATTAATTAGCTTTATTTAGCCCATAATTAAGATGGACTATAATGATTTAATTGCCCTCATTACCATGATTACCCCAATTATAATCACCCCAATGATCATAATTACCCCAATTACTGTGATTATCCTAATTACTGTAACTACCTAATTGCTCTAATTACCCTAATTGCCCCAATTATAATTGCCCCAATAACTGTAATTAGCCTAATTACCATAATCATCCCAATTACCCTAATTGCCGTAATTATCCCGATTACCCTAATTACCCTAATTACCATAATTACCCCAATTTTAACTACCCCAATTACCGTAATTACTCCCATTTTCATAATTACCCTAATTATAATTCCTCTAATTAATCACTATAATTACCATAATTACTCCTGTGATAATTCCCCTAATTACTCTAATTACTCTGATTAATTACCATGATCATCCTAATTACTGTAATTATCCTAATTGCCATAATTACCGTAATTACCCCAATTTTAAGTACCCCAATTACCGTAATTACTCCCATCACAATTTCCCTAATTATAATTCCCCTAATTATTCTAATTACCATCATTAGCCCAATGATGATTCTCCTAATTACTCTAATTACTCTAATTACCATCATTCCCCCATGATAATTATCCTAATTACTCTAATTACCATTATTGCCCCAATGATAATTCCCCTAACTACTCTAATTACCATCATTAGGCCAATGATAATTATCCTAATTACTCTAATTACCATCATTAGCCAAATAATAATTCCCCTAATTACCCTAATTACTCTAATCACCA